AAATAATTCTTGCTACTGTAGTAGCCTTGGGTGCCACAGGTTTATCCTTACGTGGGGGAATTGCAGAAATTAGCTTCATCGTGAACTGGACCTTTTTCGTGAAGTTATTACAGAACGAGTGCCTCTGTGAACAAATAATCATTTTCATATTTGAAAATCTTGTCTCTCACACAAATGTTGCCATGATATCTAGGAAAATGTTCTCGATGTTTTCCAGTCATCAAGTAGCAGAAACAGTCAGCATGGCTTTTGCTTTATCAAAAGAGCTGAAGTCATCCTGGAAATTTAGTCCAAGTAAATCAACCCACCCCGGTTTTTCTTTTTATCAGCTGCCAACAAAGTGAAGTTATTACATGCTTAGTGAAAACTGAATAACAGTGTGAAATAGGGTCTTGATAAAGTGGTAACTGAAGCTTTCACAGCAAACATATTTAGCTAATCATGCCATTACTACGATTTTGACTACGATACTATGACACATCACTACGGCAAGCCAAGCACATAAGATTCCTTTAAGTAGGCCTCAAATAACGAGAGATATATAGGTATTTCAAGCGCAAATTATTCCCCAAGCGAAAGGCCATCTCATGTTGAACTTTCTTGAAATCTTTGCTGTAAACGACGCGTGATGCACACTCCGGATATTACACTCAAATATCTACAAATGACTTGCTCTGGGGAACTGCCATGGTCATTGTTGTTTCTCAAAGACATGAGCTCATTCACTATGCTGTGAACTCAATGCGCAACCCTTGTGCAGTCGGCCTATTGCCCTTTCGAGTGACAGTATTACAAAATGGTGGAGGACGGGACTTACATGCGTCCTAGGATAAGCGCGGCGAAGAACTTTTGAGGCGAAGTTTGTGACGATTTGTACGACTCTGACGCTAGCTTTCTCGGCACAAAGTCGAAGTAGAATAGTTCAGTAGGATCAGATAATCCTTCTAATCTGCTCTACTTCAAAGTTGAGCCCCAATGATAGGGGCTAAAGCCGTTCAGATCGTTAAAAACTTCGCCGCGCAATTTGCCGCGCGCATCCTCTGACGCACGTAAGTTCACATATCCCAGGATGGTCAGTAGTGTTGTGCAAATGTAGCCTTACCTCGCCGTAACGTTTGCAGTCCAACACGTCGCGGCTCTTGTTCCATAGGTATCGAGATGTGATTTCGATACCCATTTGCCGGGGTTGTATAATGTGTAATCTGTCCAAACGAGGTATACGGTGCAATTGACGATTTGTCGTAATGTGATTCATCTCGCGTCGGTATGAGTGCTCTATCCGTGCCTGCAGAAGATTATTCGGTAATTGAGGGAACACTCAGGCACACGGTTAATAACAAGTAGTTCTCGCTTTCTTTTCTGCTAGTTCATTTGGTAATCTTTTCTTCGAGCATTCCATGTAAGGGCGCTTTGGTGAGAGTGCTCTGGTCACAGGCTCTCTCAAACTCTCGGGTACTATGTTTCAGAGTGCAACACACTGCCTAACCCGATCATTGACTTGC